GTAGTAACAGGTGCCTTACTAGTAGTAACAAGAAGCTAGTAGTAACAAGAACATGGTGTGCCCAGAACTCCAGGTGTCTGCTGAGAAGTGGCTTCAGAGCAGGTGCTGCTGAAAGAGATCTTCATGAAACCCCATATGTGCGGCAGAATTTCTTTGGTACTAAAGTCCAATACACTATCTATTCTGTGGGGGGCCGCATCTCGTTTAGACTACTTAAGTAGGAGGTCATGTCACAGTATCTCGTTCAGACTACTTTAGAAGCAAATCACGCTATCTCGTTCAGACTACTTGAGTGTCATCAAGCAAAAGTATCTCGTTTATGTGGGGGCCCTATCTCGTTCACAAGCGAATACTGATGATTGACAAGCAAATAGAGCATGCCGTGGACTACTTTTAGTAAAGGCTAAATAAAAGCGATAAAAGTGGTTGCTCATATGGACAAAGTTGATCTAATATGCCCTAATTAATCCAATGGGAGTCCTCAAGATGAAAGTCTTGAACAGGCCAGCAAGCATACAGGCCTACTCTGAGGCTTCCCCCACTATACTGAGAGGGCTACTTTCTCCTCACCTGTGGCTGATGCTTAAAGCACCTGCCTTGTACCGCGTCCGCAGATTCTCGCACAGCCGCCGCATAGGCATCTGGGTCGTTACCATCCTTTGGGGCAGTCGTGGTCAGGGTGAGGAGTACCCAATTTTGCAGCTGCAGTATGCTGCAATGTCGAGTCAATTCCAAACATCGGTTTGAGTACAACACCTTGTTGGCCCATTTGACAAACAGTTTTTGGCAATATTGAGTCAAGACTCAGACAGGGTTGAGTCCAAACCCTCTTTGACGAACAAACCCTCACTGAACCCAGTCCCCGCGGTGGGGTTCGTCGCTGTGCGTTCGACCAAAATCCTGCCCATTAGTAGACACTAGATTGGGCAGGAAACTCTCTGGGTCCCAAAAGTATTTATTGTGGGAGATGCAGGAATATCTGTAAATCAAATTACCCTCCTTCACCAAATACCCCACGGTTGCGACTTACCAAAAAATCCCAGATGGGATGAAGCAAGACTTTTCGACCCATCCCCTTAAATGATCTTAAATGAGGTTGAAGGCAAAACAGCAAGTACCAATGTGCAGGGCCAAGTTAAGTCACATACGGATGTGGCACATATGCACCAAAAAGGCCACAACACACATTGGTTGATTTAGTGAAGCCCAAATCATTTGCACTCGTTGTCCATATCTGATTTGCCTTGTTCAAGGACTCGGGACCTCACTAAGTTGGCTGGCTGGCCGCCAATCCACTTCATCAGGTACAGATTTGAGCAAAGTCTGCAAGAACTCGCTTTCAACCATACCCTACTGATCCAAACCCATAGCAAGCTCCAGGTGTTTTGGGGAGGCCTCCTCTGCCTTCTGTTCAGCCGCACTGGCTTCAACGGCCACCTCCTGAAGTTGAGGCATGGCGAGGGCTTGTCGGCGTGATGGTCAACCGAAGACTCTGATCTTCGCTCCTCCTCCTCCTCTGGAACTTCTGCAGTGTCCACAGAGATCTGCACATTGGGTGGCAAAACTCAACCGCTTGAAGGGAGATTCCGCTTGAAGGGATCAACAAGAATAATCACTCTTTGTGACAGTGATATGGTGAGAAAAAACAAGTGAAAAGCCCGTCTCGATGCAAGGCCCGTCAAGGCCCCATGCACGATCAATTACACCAATGAATGCCCTCCTTCCTGGAATAATGTGAGGTCTCAGGAGGTCTCTGTGGGATGGGCACCTTTCACATCTCTCCTCTGAATCCCATCCTGCGGCTCTTTTTCTCACGATTTCTCAGCCGTGGGTGGTGCAGAAGACGTTGATTCGCCGGTGATCATGTTGTAGAAGAACACCTGCCGACCATTCTGCACATTTTCACAAACACACTTCATGGAGCCAAGAACACATCTTCCATCGGCCTTCCCTGTAGACTTCCCCACAATTCGGATCCATTTCGGAGGCAGGGCGGGCCTCAGCAAGCTCGACGGGGCTGTGGCGCTTCGCACTGAGAGGTGGTGGATTCATGTGGATGCACGGGGTACCGGAGAGTCGTGCAATACCAAATGGTGAGTTCCATGGTTTGAAGCTGGACCACCCAAAAAAATACATGCCCAAAACCATCCTAAAACCTCGTTTTCACAATCTACATCTACAAAACCTATACAAGCCTAACGGCCTAGCGGCAATGAAATGAGAACCAACACTAACAAACCTTCAAATTTAGACAATCCACCTGTTACCATCTGTACCCTCAAACCTTGGAGGAACCAAGGTTGTCATCCATAGAGATCGTAAGTCCGAAGGGTTGATTTGCTTTTTTGTTTAGAACAAGTTCTGCAAGAAGTGGATGGTTGGTTTTCCACTTCCATGATGGTTTCAAGCAGTGTACACTTCGGCAAATGAACGCATGGACGCTGCTTCCCTCTCCGGTCACCGGGAGAAGCTGCTCTCCCCACCCCCGAGTCCCGAGTCCCGCACAAATGTCCGAAGAGACGCTCCTGCGCTCCGGCCCACTCTTCGGGCGTCCGCAGGTCCTGTGTGTCCTGCGTAGAGGGGGACGTGATCCCTATGTGAGGTCAGGTCAACATTTCAAATACCTGAATTTATTGATTTCACTTTATGTTCCAACAACTGGTCCCACACGGTATAGATCTTAAGTTAATCTTAAAAGAAGTGCGCAGCCATCCTCAGCTCCTCTTCAATTTAATTGAAATCAGGAGTGGATCAAAAGAGAATTGGAGATTTCACCTTGGTAGTAGAAGAGGAGAAAGTTCAACACCTCATGATTTGTCCGCCTTTATTGTGGGCTTACCCAACTTCGTCAGCACTGATCAGCCACAACCCCAAGGAGTTCAACATCACAAGGCCAAAAGTCGCAGAACTCATTCCCAGCAGCCTTCGACCAACAGCATCCCGTTTGCTGCAACGCGACGTCTTTTTCCATCAGCTGGCGTTTGACCCTCTTCTTGACGTAGCAATTGCACCAAGTCCGGAAAGCCAGACTCTAGTGCCATTTGGACTGGTGTGGTCCCGGCCAAAGTTGCAGTCGCTTGAGCCCTAGCCTTGAGCAACAGGCGCACCTGTTCCAAGTGACCTCTTTGGATAGCTACATGCAAGCCTGTCAAGCCATTGCTCACTGAATAGTTAGTATTAGCTTGGGCGTCAATCAATAGTCGCAGCAACTCCAAGTTGCCACTGTGAGCTGCCAGTAGCAAAGGTGCCGAACCGTTTGCCATGGTTACATTGGCTTCAGCCCCAGCCCCCCAGCAACAAACTCATCACTTCAGGGTAGCCTTTCAAAGCCGCCATATGTACTGCCGTCACATCCAAATCCATTGCTGCGTTTGGATCAGCTCCAGCTTGGAGTAGCCATCGCACCACTTCCGAGTGGCCATTTTGAGTAGCCAAATGCAAGGCATTGGTGCCATGTGGACTTGAAGCATTTGGTTCAGCTTTAGCCTCCAGCAACAATCGCACCACATCTGAGTGTCCTTTCTCAGCCGCAGCGTGCACTGGAATTCTCCCGGCAGAGGTAGCATTGGGATCCAGCGGGCTCTGCAGCAACTCTTCTACTTTTGGCAAGCGATTTGCTTCGCATGCAAGTAGTAATTCCTCCTCAGAATGTGCACAGTGACAGAAATCCAAGATCACCAATTGCACACTTGGAAGTGCCTGAAGTGGCATCTGATCCTGCAACTCGGAAGTATCTTCACCCAGGAGCCTTTGCCGAAAGCGTGAGTATCCAGTTTGAGCTGCAAGGACCTCTTTCAAGTCTCTCACAGACTTGCCGGTCTCCAGCATGAGACCCAATTCATCTTTCTCAAGCTCAACGATGGTTTCACCTGAGATTGCCCTTACCTGCATCTTTCAGCTCCCCTTGAGCCGGTGATCTATTCGCAGCACTCGATTCTTGTTTTTTTTGTGCCTCCATATGATCCCTAAGACCTAGGCCCTACACTCCCAACTCTGGCATGTACAGAAATCCTACAGAAAGAATCATGTTCCACTCCTATGATGACCAAAAGTTAAAAGCCTCTCTGCATCAATGCCTTCACGCACCTTTAGAAGTTGACCTGTGCAAGCATGTGCAAACTAAATGAGTGCCAGCATTATGGGCCATGGACAGGAAAGGGAGACGACTAAAGAACGTGAGCCTCCAATACCTTCGAAGTAACTTGCTCCTGCAAATTGTCCTCTTTCTAGAACCAATTGAACTCATTGATGTTGACTAATGTTAGTCAGAAGGCCCCAAAAGGACATGGCATGTGAAGTGCATCTGCTATACCATCCATCAACATCCAATGTGACGTTCAAAAAAAAAACTCCGGTGATCATGTTCATTGGAATGTCCATCACCGTCCAAGATTGGGTGACACAAATTCCTCGAATCACGTCCGCTCCGGTAGGAACAAGGTTCGCCTACTTACTCGGGGCTCCTGGCATCGCTACGAGTCCGGAGCGATCGGACGCGACCAAAACGCCCAACCGCTCCGCTTTTGTCCTCCCGGGAGGGCGCAGAAGAGTCCGCACCCAAAGACTCCAGGGCCTGAACAGGCCCGATTTCGCCCGGGTCGGGAGAATTCTTGGAAAGTCCTAGGTTCAAACAGTGTCCTAAACATCACCTATCTTCGATGTTCATCTTTATAGCGCTGTCCGAAGGAGAGCCGGATAATTGAAAGTTTAGGCACCTGCACAAGAGCTTTGACTGGTAGTAGCGCATGCTTCTAAGGAGCAACGCAACAATGGCATAAAAAGTAGAGCACATTGAGGGCAAATTGTGTGTTCCCTTTTTTGCTACCACATGGAAGACTTGCACACGCAAACCATACAGTGATTTGGAGCGGTCACCCTAACGCAAAAGTCACAAAAATAAAGACCGGTCAATTCATTTCACGTACCCAGAACACAAAACCTTAAGAAAAAACAAGTTCGGCAGGGAAGCAACCTTGTAAAAAAAAATCCTCGGATATTTATCTATTATAAATGAATTTCCAGAAGTATGACCCTCACGATCCAAGAACATCCAAAATTCATGAAACCATTTGGGAAGCTGAGCACCCAAGAACTATGCTCACAGTTCTGCAATGTTCTGCATCTACTGTGCCAAGCAACAAAGGAACCTCAAGAGACTTAAGTGTTCCCATACAAAATATGACAAGGACTTTTGCCTTTGACAAAGCTTCAAAAGTGGAACTTGTTTTTTCACTATTGCTCCGTCGCGGGAGAAGAAGGTTGGGATTTGGGAGGCTGTCGCACTACCTCAGTGGCCCCATCCACCAACCCCTGAGTGAAGAGCATGGACTGACCTTAAAAGACCTGAAGCCTGGTCCATGAAGTGGAGCTCAGTCAGCAGGGTGGTTGTGTGGAGGATGAAGTCTTCATTCTTGTCAGTGGTCTGATTCTGCACGGACTGGGTGCTTGGCTGGCGAAATCATGGTTTTCAGGACTGAAAAACCCTGGAGGACCAACCCTGACTGCAGGGTTACTGGATAATCAAAACCCTGGATGACCAACCCGCAGGGTTGGATTACTACGCGCCCATGACCTGATCTCCCTTCAGATGTTCGACACTTCGCGCCCACTTCGCGCCGGCTCTCTGGAGAGCTTCAATTGCTTCGCATCCAAGTCCTGGGGTCAGTGGTTTTGTGAGCGACATCAAGAATACTGTTTTTTCCACCTCATCGAACATGAACAGTGTGCAATTTTCCAGCTTTTCGGCAGCTGGGACATTTTGTTTGCGCGGAAAATGTCTGCCCTTCCTGCCCTCGCCGTCCTCGCCATCGCCCATAGGCACGGGAGCTGGCGGCTTCGAAAGCACCTGTTACGTGCAGCACCGGTCGAGCGCGGGAAAAAAACAGGTCCTTCGGGGTCGATCCCGGTCGCCTGGATGTCGGTGGCCGACAACGCATCCGAAGACGTCTGCGGCTCCTCAGGCCAACTCAAGTCGCTTTGGGTTGCTTTGAAGCCTTGACCCGAAGGGATCGTTAGAGATAGAAAGCGTATAAAGTCTTAGTCGCACAACTCAGGTCAATTCCTTCAAACAACAGCTCACCTCAGGTCCAAGTCTTTCCTTGAAGGTTCTTGTTTCCGCGGTCTTTTAAGAGAAAACCGTGCTCCGCAGTCCTCAACCAGGAAAGAGATCCAATCGCCCGATCTCAAGTCGCTGGGCACCTGGCTTGGCAAGGCCGCTAAAAGATTGTTCAATCCTCCAGTCCAGAAATGGGTTCACCTCTTCGTTGGCCCGCTCCCCCCCGCTCGCTACTCAATTAAGTAAGCGCCTACTTGATCAAGTAAGCTACAGTAGTACCCTACTTAAGCTACTAGTATGGACGCACGATAGCTCACGCTTCTTCAAGGACGCTCCCCCCGCCAGAGGGCGGGGGGGAGCTTCCTTGAAGTATTTCTAGGGAAACTTAAGCGTCAATCCTCCAGAAATGGGTTCACTAACTGTTCTGATGTTCCATTCATCCTTATTTCTGGCAGTCTTTGAGACTTCAATCAGCTTCTGCGAACCCAT